GTCATTTTGAGCCATTTCTGCCCTATAAGCTCCAAGACACAGTTTCTGATAACAATTTATTCGTATTTTTAAGAAACCAACTCCTGCATTTTAATTTCCATTCAACCTAAAAAGGATGATGAATTGGTGACTAAAAAGCAGGATGAAGATTTTTGGAACAGGGAAGATTACTGTACTGTTAATTAAAAGTGCAGAACAGAACCTTAAGAGCAAGCTCTCTGACTGTAAAATCATAGAACATTTGATGGAACTTAGATTATTTTTACAAAGCGACTGTAAAATCATAGAACATGTTCCAGTTTGATGGAACTTAGATTATTTTTACAAAGGTGTTCAGAAGAGGACAAAAACAAACCTATTAGGAATCTTTAAATGATAATAAAAGGTTATAGGCATAAATTGTAATGTAAATTTCAGTAATATAACACAAGCTTTAAGTAACAGCATATACAAACAAGCTCTGTAACTTCATTTTCAGTCTTATTGTATGGCATCTTGCATTTGGTTGAAAGGAACTCTCAAATACAATGCCACTTCTTATCAGATCAGAAACCATCAACTCTCCATAACACACATACCTAGCAGAAAGTTATGCACACATTCATGCACCAGCACTAAGTAACAGCCTTTGCACTGTTATGGAATTTTAGACAGAAGTAACTAAATACCCCAGTTATACTATAAACAAAAAGAAAATCACAATTCAGCGCCATGTGCCAGATCTTCCCATCATCCAAGGCCTTGAGTTCTTCCAGGCTCCTCCACACATTTTTACACAGGCTACTTCTTGGTTCTTACAAACACACACCCAATTGCAAAACCATCTCCTTAGTTCATATCTGCCTTTTAAAAAAAGAAAATTGGGAAAGAGAATATAACAAGCCAAAAAGGGGCAGAAAAGACTTTGGAGCAACGTAAAAGGCTGGCTGAGGCTCTGCTACTAATAAAATGGTTCATTTTATTTGAACTGTCTCTCTCCATATGCATTCTAACCTTAGCTGTCAGCTTATATAAAATCGACATTCACTAACAGAGACAAGTAGTTCTAAGAAAGTCACATATCTTTTATAAACTGCAATTTGTGATAGATCTGGACAGTGCAGTTTAAGTAATCACATTTCCCTTATTATAAGAAAATGAAGTCAGCGAAGCACTGCAATCTAACAGCAAAGTCCTTCAGTGGGCAATATTTTCTAGATTTCTAAGAAATCGGGGGAAAAACCCCACATTGGTCATTGGATGCATGCCATTATATCACTGTAAAGATCAAGAGTGCACAGCTTGGGGGTTGGGAGATTAAGGTCTCAACCTGGACAGGATGATAAATCACCCTTAAAATTGTACAGTGCGGCAGAAATGCCTCATACATCTCTGAAGATCAATCAGTCCGATGTCAAGAGACAAGATTCTAGTCCTTCCTCGCCGCACGGTATGGCCAGGTTATGGCAACAACGCTTTCTGGCTGATTTTGTACTGTTCCATCAAGTCCCTTTGGACCCAATGCATTCATGACTAGAGGCAGGTGCTTTGTGCACCTGACAACTTCATATGAGGCTGTCCACATGGCCCCACATGTGGAGCCCATCTCTGTTCATGACCCCCAAAAAGTCCTGTCATTAACAACCTTTCTCAAAGTCACAGCATCCTTTACTGACACATATTTGGCCTTTTCCTATTGCCTCTCACTTTTCCTAGCATTACTGATTTCTCCAGAAAGTCTTGTTCTTTCATGGTGTACCTACAGTACAATGGTCTCATTCATCGTCTTCTCTTCTAGAAGAGGTTCGGTCTTAATTTTATCTATGATCCACGTTTCGTCTTTCTGGTGGTCCATAACGTCTGTAAAGCTCCAACTACTGTACTTTGCAAACTTGTCAATTTTTTTCCCCTGTCAGTTTCCATGGCTGACTACTATAGCCTATTAAATTTGTGGCTCTCTCAAGGACACCTTGCCAAACAAATTATGTCCTCCATGGGACAAGCATCAGTGTTATTGCCTTTTGAACCAAGATCCAAATCCAAATGTCTGTGCACTGAGTGATATCCATTTAAAACTTCCACTTCATGTAAGAAGCCATCAAAGACACCCAATCTCCCACCTGTGTTTATTTATTTTATTTTATTTATTTATTTGATTTTTACCCCGCCCCTCTAGACCATGTCTAATTTAGCAGGCTCTTTTTCAGCAGGCTATTAAAACACTGGCCAGTCATCATAATACTAATTTCAAGACAATCTCCCACAGATTGTTTTTAAAGATCTCCCACACGTAATTGATTAGGGAATTTTTTTCTGTACATGACAACTTATTAAGTGAGTTGTCAATGTAAGAATATGCTGATAGTACTATCATGTTGTTATGGCTAAAAACAGAAGCATTACATTGAGCTAGTGTGACATGCAATGGAAGCAATATTGTAAAAGAAATGCAACTCCCCCTAGCCCCATCCATGTAGTACATTCTGCAATGAAGAACCTTCCTAAGAGCTGGATATTCCTTGGAAAAAAAATATGGCAAAGAAACAATCTGCTGGTTTTATGTTGCCTATCCCAGTCTGAACTTCTAAATTCAGTAAGGTTAAGACAGTACTTCTTTTCATTATTTATAGATATGAAAGACTGATTGATTGATTGATTGACTGACTGATTGATTGAAAATGCTTTTGCCTCTCCTTTCTCCTTAAAAAGGACCCAATGCTCATTAAAAGACAGTATTTAAAGTTAACATAATAAGTATAGAACTACTAAAAAGAATCAAACATTATCACCACATTGATAAATGGTAAACAAAACCAACATCAAAAACACATTCAAAGCAGCAATGCACAACAATCAATTTAAAACTCCTACTCAGGCAGGCATTCATTAAGATAAAGCTAACTGGAGAATAAGGGAAGGCTTACAGGAAAATAATTTTTATTCATTTGAGTGTTATGCAGCACAAGAACACTGAAGAAACAAGTGTCAAATATCCTGCAAAAAATGCAAAATTTTAATAAAACATTAAACTATCCAAACCATTTCAACCTTCCCCAGAGGCACAACTATTCAGTTGGCTGAGTATGTCTAATAAGATACTGTACTCTGTATTAAGCTTCTTGCATTTTTAGATATACTGTAGTGATATAGGAAATATCCTACAAACGTACTTTTTGTACTCCAACAAAGCATTTGAACATTTTATTAATGTGTTTTTCAGCCTCTTTCTTCTTCTTGCTTTTATTCATATGAAGATCTATGCAAATTCTTTCATAAAAAGGAAGGAAGCAATATAAATTTTCTCCCACTTCAATTCTTAATTTTTCACTACAAGGAAAGAAGTACTTTTTATATCCACTGTTTTTGTCAAATGTACGAAATATATTTTTTTTAAGCGGAGGTTTTCCCATGTGCATTTGTACATCAGAAAAATTAAAAGGCCTAGCATTCTTACAGAGAGAGTGCTATATAAAACTTTTGAAAGGACAGAACTAATGAAGCACCAGCTGAAAACAAACAGCATAACCTACAGTACAGTGGTGCCTCGCATTACGATGTTAATTCATTCCAGCGAAATCGCTGTAGAACGAAAACGTCATAAAGCGAAAATTAAAAAGCAATTTAAACGCATTAAAACCTGGTTAATGTGTTCCAATCGGCTAAGAACTCACCATCCAGCGAAAATCCTCCATAGGGGCAGCCATTTTCGGGTGCCTGTGCAGAGAAAAATGGCTCCTGAACACAGCGGGGAGCCATTTTGAGCACCTGGTGGCCATTTTGAAACCCCAACGATCAGCTGTTTTGATCGTGGGGAAGCGAAAATCAGTTCCCGAAACAGGGAACCGATCATTGTGCAGCAAAATTCTCCCATTCAAAACATCTGTACAAATGTTTTGTACTGAAATCTACACAGCCCAATGGTGCATAACAAAATATTCAGGTTTGGAGATATGAGGGTCTGAAAAGCTACAGACTGAAAAGCTATTTCATACACTGAAATATTAGAATATAAGCCTTTGATAATATGTCTTAAGCAAGTAATATTCACATGGCATGGTACCAAAATATGAAAGCCTTGATTTTTAAAAAATGAAAGCCACAATGTAATAGATGAGTATTAAAAAAAAGATCTTGGGGTGTTGATTAGCACAGAATTGCAATACTGTAAACAATCAAAGAGTCTCTAAGCCTCCATCTGCACTAAGGGAAAACAGTAAAACATCTATTCTAAAAGTAAAAACTCAGATTTTTTAAATAACCAAAGACAGTATATGTCCCCAAAACTTCAGATGAAGGTTTCCTTGCCAATTAATATTCCAAGTTGCAGCTCAGAATTTTTTAAAGATTTTCCAACTGCACAAATCTACTGTGAAACCACTCCCCACCCCTCAAAACGAGCCAAACAAAAATCTTCAGGCTGAATAGTTGCTCTGCCATCAGTTACACTGCAGTGAATAGGAACTTCAAGTAATGCTCTTCCTTATTTTTGGCTTGCAATTCCCAGAATTCTTGGAGAATCTCTAAACCTGCAGGTCTTTTTTCCACGGCTCCAGCATAAGGCTTTCAAGTTATTTACCTGCATGACCGGCTTCTGCTTTATGTTGTTGAGCCATTAAAAAAAAAGAAACTGGTGCTTCCTGAGAGTTGCAGTTCTATGGGAGGCACCGCCTACAGATCTAAATAAGCAATAACACTGCAACTCCCAGGAAACACTGTGGAAGCCAATGGAGCAGGGTAAATAGAAACAGAAGAGGAGCTGCTTTTCCATACTTCAAATCACATACCTAGGAGAAAATGTGAGACCTCAGCAACCACATACAGGTCCAGCCACCCAAATGGCATCCAACCATGAAGACGGCAATGGTTGGGAAACAAAATAAGTTCTACTCTATAAATAGAAAAGTAGTAAAATAAAAACAGGCACTAGTTATTGAAACATAAAAACTCAACAATTTCCATAAGACCCACAGGGAAGGTTTTGTCTCCTATGAATTCTGTTATTTAAATAAATAAAAACTTACCTGCGTTACAGTGGCTGGTTCCAAGCCAAAGACATTCCGTCGCTTCACAGTCAGTACATCAGGATTCTTAGTTTCATCATCATCATCATCACTATGATCCTCTTCAAAGAACTTCAGGCATTCAGCTTTTGAGCCTTGAACTACTATAGGCTCTTCCTCTGTCTCAGATTCACCATGTGATGCATCAGCCTCCGTTCCACTGCTTTTGCTAGAGAGCTTTTTCATCTCCTCTGCTCCCAATGTCACAGTTCCACTGAAAAGCGCCTTGCACTTTTCTGTATCTTCATTGCTTGAAGAAAACACTTTCTCTTTAGGCTGCTCTTTCCCCTCTAAAGGGCCTTCCTCTTCAGGCTCATTCTCAAGCATTTTCTTCTGGACTTTCTGAAGAAACCTTACACGAGGAGCCACTGCAAGCCCAAGGGAGCTAAAAATCAGAAAAGGGTAAATAAAGCATGAACAGATCTGCTGCTTTAAATGATATCCACCATCAGATCCGCTTAGTTTTATTTTATAACACGTCACAAATTTCTTCATTGCTTTTTAGCTTTGGCCTGTTTGATGGTACCCAAGTTCAGACTGTCAGCAAGCTTGAATCAGGCTTTATTTCCAGGACAGGGAGCAGGGAATACAGATAAATCCCTAATGCCCCCTGCATCTTTTTTTAAAGGCTCCTATATTTTGGTACTAGGTATTATTTGGAAGAATTGCTGCTTCTGAACAAGCTTCAAAGGCAGCCCCAAATACAGTACACAAAAGCTGTCTAGACTGCAAGAGCTTGGAATTCTATAACTATCTCTAATGAGCATAGACTGCAGACAGTATTCAGGTTTCTAGAGAATGAAGTAAATAAGCAGCAGGTTCAGCCTGCAAACTAATGTGAAGCACATACATCAGACTCTCCAAGGCTTATGATTCTGCACACATACACAATGGTCCAGATGTGGTGAACTATTAGAAGGTTTAAGATAGGTTTCCTAAGCTGCAATTTATCCGTGAAAGATTAGGAAAAGACACAAGACATTATCCTTCAATCTTCCTTTTTTAAACAGAAGTGGGAGTGAAGGAAAGTCTAAATAAAACTTTGACATTTTTTTGTTACATTTTAAGCACCAAATAACTCAATGTTCACAGAACACGGCTTCCCATTCCCCTCTAGTGGCAAAATCACCTCAACAGTCACAAATGCCACTAGTTTTCTAAAACTGTGTTTCACACTTCATTTTCTAAGGACAAAACAGAAAAGAGCAAGCCTCTACCCAAATAAAAAGCAGAACAGTTCAATACTAGTTTTCCAGAAGGAGAATCCTGAAACACATCATTAGAAACTCATCTACTACTGGTCTCTATCTAACACCAATCTTCCATTAATTACTGCAGAAATGAGTATTGTCTCTGCACCATTTGATGTAACTATGTTCCTTCCATATCCTTGAAAAAGGACACACAGAAAACTGAGACTCTTCATTTTTTTGAACATTAAGGCAAGATGATAAGTTGGGAATTATTTTAATATCAAAAGCTGACCTCTTCCAAATCCCTAGAGCAGTGGTTTGAACCTTTGGCCCTCCAGATGTTTTAGATTTCACCTCACTGAACTTCTGTCCACCACTCATGCTGACTAAGGCTTTTCTGAGGTTGAGATTGAAAACATCTGAGGACCAATGGTTCAAAGCCCTAGAACAAAATGGTTAAAATGAGAGTGACAGAAAAATATTTTAAGTGTAAATCATAAAATCATCATGCTTATCCGTTTCTGGAAAAGAGATATATGGCTACCAAAACCTCTTACAATATTTCATTGATGCCATGATGCTGTCCTACAACATATATATCCTGTCACGTGTTCATAAACCTAGGTGTTGGTATGCTGCTCTGTGGAAGAGCATTGGCTTTGCATGTGGTAGGGCCCAGGCTCAATCTCCAGCACCTCCAGGGCACGGAAAGACACCTTTCTGAAACCCTGCAGAGCTAATGCCAGCCATGTATAAAATTTTGAGCTAGGTGGCTGTGAACAACTTCCTAAGTGCCCAACCACATGGCAGATTCCAATCCCCTACTTGAAGGACTAAATGTCGTAAGCTGTGATGCTCCCAGAAAAAGGTTGAGCTTGGTCAAAGGGAAACCTTTTTCTATGAAGATCTAATCCTTTGTTTCAAAGATGGATCAGCAGGAGAAACTGAAGGAAAAGTGAAGCCTGACATTCCAAATCCACAACGATTTGCATAACTTTCCACCTTTTTGTGATAAACTAGAACTGACTTGATGGCAAAAAATTATTTTTTGTACAGTACGTTCGCCCTTCAAACCCTGGTTTATGAACCAGGTTGGTTAACAGACATGAAACCACAGTTGCCTTTTTTGGACATAAAAGGGAACTACAGTGGTGCCTTGCTTAGCGATTGCCTTGTTTAACGATGTATTCGCTTAGCGATGAGGTTTTTGGAGTGACCTTGCGCTCCGTTTAGCGATGTTTCCTATGGGGAAATTTCGCATAGCGATGTTCGGGACCTTGCTTCGCTTAGCGATGACAGTTTAGGTCCCCCTGTTTTGCTTAGCGATGTCCGTTTTCGCTATTTTAAGTGTGTCTTAAAATGTTCAAAAACTGTTTAAAATGCTTGGAATCATTAGTGCACCCTGTAAAACCTTTGCAAACTTAATTTGGCTTTGTTCTGAGTCTTCGTTAATTTTTGGTGAATTTTCCCCCCATTGGAATGCATTGAACTTTTTTTATAAATAAAAATCAGGCCAACAGTACTATGGACATAATCCATAATCCACTCACTTCTTGGTATAAACCCTTGTTGCCGTTTGCAACAGATTTGAACTCATCGTAGCATACACAGAACTTTTCTGCACTTTGTCTTAACAGTAAATTTGTGAGGTTGCTTTGTAGATGGTGTGGAGAACTGTGACAGAGACTGTAGCTGAAGGTCAGCTAGTGAGTTTCATGGCTGAGCATAGAAGTAAAACCTGGTTGTCCAAACTCCCCATCCAATATTCTAAATCCTATGCTAAAATGGTTCTAAATCCCATAGGTTTTATCAGCCCTCAACCCCTCCCATGCATGCACATAACAGAGAGACATTTGAAGCAATATAGTATATGTGGTCCAATGCAAAGAGGAATGTTTGGAGCTCTACATTGGAGAAACCAAAACAGCCATTAAACAGAAGAATGGCCCAGCACAAGAGGGGCAATGGCTCAGGACCACAATCATCAGTGTTCCTTCATTTGAATATACTCAGTTTTGGACATATAGGTGGTTTGAGAGAGGGGTCAGGGAGGCCATATATGTGCATATATAAAATCTCTCACTCAACAGGGTGGAGGCTTAGATGCAATCTGTTTCCTATTCATTGTGCTGCGCTTTCATCTGTTCCCAGAAAGATCAGGACCACACACATCAGAAAGACCACTGTTAATGACCATTAACGGCCCATGACAACGGGTGGAGGAGGACTACAGAAGTGGGATTTTCACTGACCTCCAGTCTTTTATCCTTCTAACAAGCCAATCCACACCAGGGGGTGGGGGAGTGAAACCAATGTGGAAGAGATATCAGGGATCTCCTACCAACTCTCCTCAGACTGAAGAAGCTACTTGGATGAGTAGTGAAACGTTTCAACCTAACAAGAAAGAAGTCCAGCTTCCATGACTCAACTTCCAGATAACCTCACCTGACTGACTGAGAATCTTCAAAGATTTTTGGATTTTGTTATTAAAAGCATATTATGCCATAAAATTATATAGCAACAAATAGATCTGAAATCTGCTCCTGAAACAGTTATGTTTCTCAAAGTAGTAACTGGCAAATTGATAGAGATCCACCTACACTTGAGCATTCATAACTAGTGAGGGACTGTCATGAAAATGGACACTTTTTTTTTAAAGGACACAATTTAATACCACTTTCTGAGAATACAGTGGTGCCCCGCTTGATGATGATAATGCATTCCAACAAAATTGCAATTAAGCAAAATCGTCGTCAAGCGAAAAAAATCCCCATTGGAATGCATTGAAAATCGGTCGATGCGTTCCAATGGGGGAAACATCTCAGCGTCCAGCGAAGATTGCCCATCCTCTCTATGGGCAATCTTCTCTGGATGATGAGGTGTTTCCCCCATTGGAACACATTGACCGGTTTTCAATGCATTCCAATGGGCTTTTTTTCACTTGACGACGATTTCACTTAACAGCGATTTTCCTGGAACGGATTATCGTCGTCAAGTGGGACACCACTGCACAATAATGGCATTACATGCGCAGAAATTCACATTAGTATTTGGGAAAGGTGCTGCAGAGCTTAAAAGCTGAATGTAAGCCTTTTCATTAATACCCACTATAGGGAGAAAAATTCCAAAGAGGAAGAGGTCTGACAAAGCCTTGGCAAATGGGAAGTCCAGTGGCTGCAGATCTAAATTTGTAGTCTCAGAACTATCTGGATTTGTTGTCTTTTGAAGCATGTGGGCTCTGTGCAGTTAAACTGAAAGGAGCAAAATTTTTGGCTATCTACATTTGTCATCCTGTTTAAGCAGACAGTTCTGATTACGAAATTATTAGATAGAAGAACTCCTTACTTCTTTGTGACTGGTCAAGGAACCAAGAACAGCCGCAATGCTCTGAATTAAACATTTTCTATACAGCTGCAGCAGCTGAGATGTATTGAAGGATCAAGGCTAAGCAACTACGAAAAATTAACCCCTGGACTTGTTGGTCCTTTCCCACTCAATAAATAAAGCACAGATCTGTTTTTATGATCTCCATAGTTCAATCCAAGATGCCTCTGAAATGAAAACTAAAAGAAAGTAGGAAACCTCAAAGACCATGATGCAGAGGAATGGCATTCCTGAGAAGGAAAAATAACCTACCAGTCCCATACTTCGGCATTAAACCCCACAGGCTAAATTACAAGATGGGGAGCTGTTACTTCCATGCCATTTCTGTACTGCTTCTCCACACCATCTACAAAGCAACCCTGTGCACTTTTGTGCATTGCAAAGATTTCCTGACACTTGCAAGAGTGCATGGCAGAATGAGTCCCAGCAGCGGCTGCCTCCATATGACTGCATAGAGGCAGCCTCTCTTTCCCTCATGCCCTCTTGCAAGTCACTGAGAATTCTTGCAACTCAAGAATGTACAGCTGAGTGCCTTTTAAAGGTGTGAAAAAGAGCTGTTCAGCTTCCTGCTGTTTCAATTCTATCCCATAATTCAGCCTGGAAGTTTCCCACTGAATTATAGGAGTTTGTTACTTCCAAAACTCCCATCCCTAATGATACACATCAGCTGTACAGTATGTGGAAAGCCATTTCTAGTTCAAGTATCTCTTCAACCAAAAACTTGCTAGATATAAAGATGAGCAACTGGTGGCCTTCCAGATGGTGGTAGTTTATACTCTCTTAAGATCTAGTCAATATAGCCAGTTTTAAAGGATCATGGGAGTTGAAATCCAACAGCATCTGCAGGGCATCTAGTCAACCCAACAATGTGCAAGGCAGAGGATTTGCATGGTACAGTGGTGAGGAAGTTCTAATCTCTACTGAGCCATGAAACTCACTTGGGACAGTCATCTCTTCTCAGCCTTACATATCTCTTAGAGTGGTTATGAAGATAGAATGGAGATGATAGCCATAGAGGTCATCCCAAACATACTGGAGAAAAGATGGTATAACTATAGGAACAAATAGATATAAATACAAATAATGTCTTTAGGCATCTCAAACTCAAAAGATATAAGCTATCTGCAATACGAGGAACAAAAACAGTGACCCAAGTTGTAGGACTCTTTTAAGGTTTACCAGTCAAATTCACATTAAGCCCTCTGAAATCCATAAGTACTGCTAGATTATATGCATGAGAAATCAATTGCTTCACAGTTCACCTCTGAGCAAAGGTAAAAAAAAGCTGCTGACACAGCAAATACAAATTAGTCTTTACATCAGCACAAAAACATTCAGCATTACACAAAGTTGTCACCATTAGACATTTACAGAGCATAGCCACGGGAGTCTATTGCAGCAAAAGCTAAGACTATATCTGTCGCTCAGAAAAAGAAAAAGCAATGAAATGTAAAAATGGCTCTACAAAGATTTTTTTTAAAATCCAGGCTCTATATACTTCTTCAAAGAGCACCAAGACACAAGAAATCGAAGCAGAAAATCCTAATTCTGCCCCATTCCTGTGGTAAAAGCAACAACAAAACACTTCCTCTAAGTATTACCTCTATGCATCTAGAACGCTTATGTTAGAACAAGAATGAAGCCACCGAGGAACATAATCTTTGCCCGTTTGTTGAATTTTGCAGAATGGGGGAGGGGGGACACCAGCCCAAGTACGACCAAGAGGTATGACAGGATGCAGATCATCATTAAACAGGACATTTTAGGAGAGGAGAAAGGGGGGAAGGCCCTGAGAAAGCCCTTTCAGGTTTTACAGTACCCTGAAAGATGGCATATCTTTGGGGAAATCCCTGCTTACCTAGAACCAAGGCTATTGCAGACAATTGCTGAAATTCAGTAATAAGTTTCACCTTGAGGAGGCCCACTGAATCAATAGGTGTTACTCACCAAATCCCTATCAATTCAATGGGCCTACTTTAGTTGCAACCTACTACTGAAGTTTAGCTGATGAGACCGCTTTCCAGCAATTAGATGGACTAGTAAAGATTATGCAACTATAGACTGTGCTGCCCTACAAATTTGCTGTTTTTCAGATATTAATGCTGTCAGAGCCTATGTTTCATTTCAGTTCTTCTACAAACACCATGTAAGGAGTTGGTGGCAAGTTATGCTGTAGCACTGATCAGGAGCCAGTTAAGAAGTGGGCACCAATGTGCCCATGTTTGAACAAGAAGGCAGACTGACTTGTAATCTGAATTTTGCGGGACAGCTTCAACCTTTTGTTTTAAACAAAGGTTTTCTCTCTTTAAGGAACTTCCCTCCTTTTTAAAATAGAGAAACACATAAACATCAATGATGGGAAAATAAAACGTGCTTTACTGAACGACATAAGGTACTGTATTTGCCGGCGTACAAGATGACTTTTTGGGCCCAAAAAACATGCCTCAAAGTGGGGGGGGGATCGTCTTGTACGCTGGGTGCACTGAATGACATGGGGCCGCGCTGGTCGGGGAGGAAGGCAGGCGGGCAGGCAGGCAGGCAGGCAGGCGGTCTGGAGGGAGGGAGGGAAGCACAGCCTGCCATGCCTGAGCGGCCAGAGCCCGCTGCTGGACTGCCTGCTGCCGGGCTGCCCGCCACCCTGTGCTGCTGAGCCAGCTGCGCGCTCGCTTGCCCGCCACCTGTCCGTTTCCCCTCTTCCTTCCGCTCTTCCTCACCCTCTTGCTGCCATGCCTGAACCACCGCCGGGCTGCCCACCGCCAAGCCAGCCGCGCGCACACTTGCTCGCCACCCACCCGTTTCCCCTCTTCCTCCTCCTCCTGTTGGGGGGGGTTGTCTTATACGGCCGGTTGCCTTGTGCGCCGGCAAATACGGTAAGAATATTTTTTAAGACGCTGACTAAATGAATAAAGGAAACAGTCAATGAAAAGCAAAGCACCCTGGACTCAGCAACTTTTTCAAACAGTTGGGTGTATAAGAAAAAAACACCCGCTCACAAAGGAGTTGCCCTTTAAGCACAGAATCCAGTTATGCATACCACAAACCTGTCCCAACCCCATGAGTAGCTCGTATGCTGCTCAGTTTCCCCCCAAATTTTGCAGGATCTGACATGTACCAGCAGAAACTAATCCCATCCAAGGAGTGGGCTAGGAAACCAACATTTTCAGCCCATAATTGCCACTTTGAATTGTCCACTTTAGTAAAAGATAAGACACTTCAAGCTTTCAAGAACTGACAGTATGGAAAGGTACAATTTCAGTATCAAAAAATAATCATGATAACAAAATGGGTGCCAAAAGTTTTTGAAAAAAGTTTCCACCATTCATTTAATGTAGATAACATGAAAACTATTTTTAAAAAGGAACAGTAAGGAATATACAAATTTTTAGCACTTCCAGCATTTGTAATTATTAAAGCTAATGGTACTTACAGGGCATATTCAGCTATGGGTAACTTGAGAACATCAAACACATCTTTGTTCTTCATTAGGTAGACAGAGCGCAGATAAGAAACGAAACACTTGAAAGAGAAGCAAAAAAGAAACTTTGGAACTGCAGAAAAAAGCTATATCTTTAAATCTTTGCATCTAAAAATGGAGCCAGAATGTTAAACAACTGAAATCTATGCATTGCATTTCAGATAAAATTAGTTTCTTCTCAAAAAGTAGATCACTCATACAATCTCTTGCTCTGAGGAGTTCCAAAGTCAAGAGACTGTATTTTTTTTTAATTTCACTTTTAATCCATTTTAGGCCTGTGAAAAGAGGTACATTTTTAAGTTCTCTCAAAAATTATACAGACATATTTAAATATGAAATTATAATTACAGAAATGTAAGCATAAAACACTGTTACAAAACGATCTGTATAAAATTAGAAGACACAAATCACAGTTCTCACAGACTCAAATCAGGAACTGAAGGTTTCAGAGTAAAGGATCTAGTCAAGAGAATTATCATGGACCTTGTGTATTCACTCTTCCAACACAGCACAACTACAGAAGGGATACAGGTTTGGATATGTTTTCATCTGACAAATTCCCCAGCAAATCTGGAGTTTCTGGAATGCTTCAGGTTTGTGCAAAACAGAGCTGCAACAGACATTTGGATTTACTAAAGTTCAACCCGAACTGTGGAAGGTGTGAAGGGGGATGCGGCAAAGGCCTAAGTGTTGTTCTCTCTGGAGGGCGGTGAAGAATTCAAGACCGAATAGACAGAACTCAAGAGTCTCCTCATCTCCTCTATGCTTCCAGACCTTTTAGGCCAGGGGTCAGGGAACTTTTTTTACCTTGTACCCCATAAAAAATTTATATACGCTCACATTCGCCACCTGTGCCTGGGGTGCCTCCTTCACCTGGCGGTGTCACACTCAGTCCTTGGCCCCACAGGGGCAGCTCCCTTTCTCCGCCAGCAGGCAGTTTCTGGGCGGCTGCCAAAGAGCAGCAGGTGGCTTGCTCGCTGGGGGCGCCCGCCAGCGCCTCCCACTCTGGCATCGGCAGCTGCTTGCCGAGGTGGCCGCGTTGGGCCTTGGCGTCAGGCCTCCTGCAAGACTCGCCATCGAAGCGCCATGACAGCTGCTGCATGGAGGATGAGAGGCTCTGCCAGGCCCGGCTAGTTGGTGTGGAGGCACCGCTGAAGGAAGCCGTGCTGCCGCCTGACGGGCTCCTCCAGGAACAGGGATGGGGCGTGGGGCGGCGTCCCAGTGCCAGGAAGCTGAGCCTGGCCTGGGCTGCTGTGGTGGCCGCCTCTCCAGGCACTGGAAGGAGAGGGGCCTCGCCCTCCACTATAGCTGGCCCCACTGCTACCACCTCGGCTGCTGTACGCCACCAACCGGGGCCTGTCGCCAGCCGCCATCCACCGTGGCTCGGTTGCAGCCGGGCTGGAGAAGGGTGTGGGAAGGGGCGATCGGGCAGCTGGGGACCCCCCTCTGGGCAGAGGAGGAGGAGGGGGGAAGGGAGTTAGGGTTGCATCCTCATTACCCCCAAGATTTTCATTTTTACCCCATTTGGGGTAATTTACCCCTGTTCCCTGACCACTGTTTTAGGCTAACTGAGTAGATCTACTGAAATCAACATGACTCAAGTTAGTTATGACAAACAATTCCATCCACTTGAAAAGGCCTAAACATGTCTAACACTGGATTTTCAAGTTTAAATCCCCATAATTCTTTAGAACCTTTCAGTTCCTAGATGTTCTTAAATTAAAACTCCCAGAAGGCTTCACTTGCAAGGGGTAGTCCAAGAACAGCAGGTGACCCAAGGCTGGGAACCACTGCTCTAGAACAAGTGGGCACCATCCTGAGTCACCATCCTTCAGAGGAGTGTACCAGAATGAAAAATGTGTCCCCCACTGTACCCAAAATCATGACCCTTATGACTTTCAGAGCCTGCAATGGAGCTCTGGAATTAAGAAGCTATTTCTCTACTGCCTTAGTACAAATACGATTAAAATATAGTCAGTGAGTTTAACTGGCTGCAAACCTGTGCATGCTTACTTGAGAGTAAGCTCCAAGTGGAATTTAGTACCATGAACATGTTTCTGTCTACTATGTATTTTTGATATCCTGGCATTATTTCTCAGTGCTTCTGTTCATTTCATATTGCTATTCCCCTCTCACTTATGCCCACTGGGCCTACAACACGTGTCTTCTCTTACCTTTCAAAATAACCTTCTTTTTCTTCTATAATTTTTTTAAAATTGAAGCTATTTGCTCCATCCTTGAAAACTATTTTAATCTACTAATACAACTTGCAGTAGAGGACACGTTTCTGCTAAAACCCATCCTTAGAGCAATAACAACAAAAACTGCAGTAACACATTTTCCTTGTAGTCTCATGTTATCCAAGCGCAATAAAACACTGGAAAATCACTTCTATAAAAGTGAATAACCTGCTGCTGCCAGCATGCCCTTTCGTTTGGCCGGTAACTCAAGTGTATAATTCATTAAATCATACTGTTTTATGTTTTCACAGTATGGTTCCGTAATTTTTGTTTACAAAAGATAGAGGGAAATAGTTTTAGATACATTTACTGGTTCATGCATGGAATTCTCATTTGGACTTCTGCTCTCCGCAAGATCTGTTACCATTCATCCTGCTTTTCAATCTTAAAAACATTCTAGAGATTGATTAAATTATGCATAGTAATAGCTCACCATCTTTTGTAGAGTATCTTCTTCTCTCATACAAACACACACACACTCATAAACCTGCCTATCCTGATCTATGATATGCAGAAATCCTGCAGCAAAATGGCCATTCTGTCTGGCATTGTGGTGATCCAATTAAATTGTGCAGTTTTGTTTCTACATGATCATTAAAATCTGTTGCTCTTGCCAACTATTCACAGCTGGGGCAAAAAGCAAGAAAGATACTAAATAACTACTGCAATACCAGAACAATACTTTAATGTGCATACTGAGTATCTCTAATAGCAAAACTTTTTAACATACAGTGGTGCCTCACACAACGATGTTAATTGGTTCCAAAAAAATCAACGTTGTGTGAAACATCGTTCTGTGAAACACCATTTCCCATAGGAATGCATTGAAAACCGGTTAATCCGTTCCAATTGGAACGGATTGCCATCGCTGAGTGAAAATCCCCATAAGAAACATCGCTGTGTGAAACAATGTTTCCTCCATTGGAATGTATTGAAGCCGACTCAATACATTTCAATGGCTTTGCGAAGTCCTTTTTCGCTCCTGTAAAAGTGTCTTACAATGTTTGGAAGCTGTTTTAAATGCTTGCAATGGTTAGCCCACCTCCTGAAACCTACGCAAATTTAATTTGATGTTGTTCTGACACTTCGTTAATTTACGGTAATTTTTTGTTTTCTCCATTGAAAACTATTGAATGGTCTGTCTAATGGTTTCCAATGGAGAAAACAAAAAATCATCATAAATTAACGAAGTGTCAGAACAACACCAAAATCAGTTTGCTTAGGTTTCAGGAGGTGAGCTAACCAGTGCAAGCATTTAAAACAGCTTCCAAACATTGTAAGACACTTTTACAGGAGCGAAAAGGGAGATCGGGAAGAGCTTTAAAAGGCAAATGGAGATCAAAGAGCCCTTTCCCGATCTCCCTTTTCGCTCCTGTAAACATGTCTTACAATGTTTGGAAGCTGTTTTAAATGCTTGCACAAAAAATTACTATAAATTAACGAAGTGTCAGAACAACACCAAAATCAGTTTGCATAGGTTTCAGGAGGTGGGCTAACCATTGCAAGCATTTAAAACGGCTTCCAAACATTGTAAGACACTTTTACAGGAACAAAAAAGAGACATCATTGTGTGAAAATCCCCCATAGGAAACATCGCTGTGTGAGGCGGCAAATTTAACAGAAAAAGGCATCGTTGTGTGAATTCATCATTGTGTGAGGCACCCGTTGTGCGAGGCACCACTGTATATGTATATGTATATGTATATACACACACACACACACAGAGAGAGAGAGAGAGAGAGAGAGAGAAAGAGAGAGAGATGCCTCGCATTATGATGTTAATTCGTTCCAGCGAAATTGCTGTATAATGAAAACATCGTAAAGGGAAATCAAAAAGCCCACAGCAACGCATTAAAACCCGATTAATGCATTCCTATGGGCTTGAAACTCACCGTCCAGCGAAGATCCTCCATAGCGCGGCTATTTCCGCTGCCCGTGCAATGAGGAATCCATCCAAAAAACAGCGGGCAGCCATTTTTTTTACCCGGTGGCCATTTTGTAACCGCCGATCAGCTGTAGGAAAATCGTCGTTTTGCGAGAATTGGTTTCCGAAGCAGGGAACCGATCATCGCAAAGCGAAATTCCCCCATAGGAAATATCGTTTTGCAATCGCTTTTGAGATCACAAAAACTTCGTCATTATACGATTTCGTCGTAAAACAGAGCACCCATTAAGCGAGGCACCACTCTGTGTGTGTGTGTGTGTGTGTGTGTGTTCTGTAGCTAAGCACAGGAATTGGAGATGGAGGGACTACACACACTGTTAAATACAGGGCTAATTTAAGGATCGGCACGTCCTCTTTGGAAGAAAAGCAAGGTATAAATAATAAAATGAAATGAAAATGAAATCAAATTATGCCTTCATCCAACTGATGATTTTCCCTTCACTGATAATGAAGCATCCCTGCAGCCCTTTCTTATTGTTTATTTTCTAGCAAGACTGAATAGATGTTTGTGCAAACACACCTTCAACCCCTGACAATTCCAGTTCCAGGATTGGGGGTGGTGGTGTTGCGGCAACTACTGTAAAAATGAAACTGTTTTTGAGAATCTGGGCTCCTGCAAGTAGATGGAGCAACAGTTTGCCTTCAGAGATAGCACCTTGTACACCCATATAAAGATTTTGATTATATTTGCAAACTGATGCTATTACAGTTTCAGAACTGTTACAATAAAATTTTAACAGTAATAAAAACACTGTTATCAAAGTATGAATAGATTTCAATGCATTCCAATGGGGAACCATGTTTCGCAAGACGATGTTTTTGCGAGACAGTGTTTTTCGTGGAACGAATTAACATC